CAGGCTCCTAGCTGTCAGCACAGAGCCCGACGCGGGGCTTGAACCCACACACTGTGATATCATGACCTGAGCGGAAGTCAGAAGCTCAACTGACTGAGCCACACAGGTGCCCCTCTATGAAGGCATTTTAAGTGAAATAGAATAACAAAGCAACAAATAACTCACTAACATTTCATTGTCAAGTTTAGTAAACAAAATTATCTTAGTTTGCCTCAGGCACTGACTCTCAACATCAGTGATGTGCCTTTTCAAATATGTTGTCATATATGCATTTCTTGCACAGGCCAACAATCCAGATTTCTTAAAATTATGTAAGTGACATAGCTGTACAAATGACTCCTATAACTCAGGAGAGGGGCTGTCCTTACAGCTTGGCCATTTCTAGGAGTTAAGAATTTAAGCCAGAGGTGCATGTTAATAATGTTTGTAATTCCATTCATCCATCACAAGCACTTATATTTTAACGCACATTTATGTTTCCAGTTAAACTGCCAGGAGTAAGAACTTATATTGATCCACACACCTATGAGGATCCCAATCAAGCTGTCCATGAATTTGCCAAGGAGATAGAAGCTTCATGCATCACCATTGAAAGAGTTATTGGAGCAGGTACAACAGTGTGTTTAACTTGGACTTTTAAGTTGTGTTTATATTATAGAATGTAATATGTCAATGTCCTGATCTAACAAAGAAAGTTTTTAATCTTTTGTAATCGACTTGCTTTCAAAGTGGTAGGTAATTGATCATATTTTAATGCTTCCCTCTGTGGAGCTCATATATTTTTTTTTTATAAATTTTTTTTTTTAACGTTTATTTATTTTTGGGACAGAGAGAGACAGAGCATGAATGGGGGAGGGGCAGAGAGAGAGGGAGACAGAGAATCGGAAACAGGCTCCAGGCTCTGAGCCATCAGCCCAGAGCCTGACACGGGGCTCGAACTCACGGACCGCGAGATTGTGACCTGAGCTGAAGTCGGACGCCTAACCGACTGCGCCACCCAGGCGCCCCTGTGGAGCTCATATTTAAACCAGCAAATGTTTTCTTTATTAAATAAATAAATAAATAAATAAGTAAAGTAGCAAAAGTATGTATATTTTGTACATATTTATATACATTATAAAGTGTACAGTGTTTTATCATCTACTGTTTCTTTCATTCCATATATAATCTGTAATGCCCAAAACTATTTACATAATTTAAGCACTCAGATACTCTATTTATGAGTCATCTCTTCCTTGAAATTGTTCCCTTTTTGTCCTGCTATAAACTTTTCTCCTTTTCCCTTCTCAGTAATTAAGGCACTGCTAGTGTAGACACAGAAGGAAGATGCGAGTGATTTTCAATCAGTTGCGTTTAATTTCTTTCTAATGTTTTCATTAAGGTTTTTGTAGGTGAGATGAATGAAGCTAATAACCCCCAGAGTGTTTAATGATCACCTGTAGATGATTTTTCCCAAAGCACCACTTCTTAACCCTGATAACAAAGTTGGACTCCCATTTCAATTCTGTTTTGTCTCTACCTTAATAGGGCTTTAGTGTATTCATAGAGTAAGGATTTGAAATGAGTTTGTGAGTTTTTTTTTCATCTTTATCACAAGGTGAATTTGGTGAAGTTTGTAGTGGACGGTTGAAACTTCCAGGAAAGAGGGAATTACCTGTGGCAATCAAAACCCTCAAAGTAGGCTATACAGAAAAGCAACGCCGAGATTTCCTGGGCGAAGCAAGTATCATGGGGCAGTTTGATCATCCTAACATCATCCACTTAGAAGGTGTTGTGACCAAAAGTAAGTACAGTAGCAAATTATGTGTGGGTGTGTGTGTGTATGTTTGCATGTATTATGAACATCTGGGTTTCTTCTATTAAGTTATTATTAATTTCAGGATAAAAAGAAAAATAGCCACAGTAATGTTATTAACAATTTCATTGGCATTAATACTAATTGTCCTGTATTTTAGTAGAGTTTTGTCAAAGTCATTGATCATCAATGAACCTGAATTTCTGTTTAGTTTTTCAAAACATATGTATTAACTCATGTACTATGAATTCACTGCCAGAGAAAAATGTATCCAAATTAAAGGAGCCGTAAATGTATCGACATTGCTTTTTCTTCTGACTCTTCACTTTTTATCCTAATAAAATATTAACTTCAATGTTTTGATTGAGGCATTGAAGTTTAACATTTAATAGGATTACTATAACCATAGGTGGTTTAATAATTTTAGGGAAAGCAGCAGTCAGCCACAGACAACTGGAAAAGTTCCTTGAGATTAATTATTTTCTTAAAGAAAATCTAATTTGTACTCAAAGATATCTAGAGTTTCAAATCTCTTTTAAACGTGTATGTGTGTCATTAATGTGGTTATGTGGCAAGCTTCCCAGTATAGAGAGTTCCAGTAATTTTTCAGCCATCCAATAAAGTATTTTCGAGTGACATAACTAAGGTCTTTATTTTATTTAAATTCATTTAGTCTTTGCTATGTCTATGTGCTCTCATTCCTTCCTTTGTCCCTCATACCCTACTTACCACTTTCTAAATCATCTAGAAATTTTATCAGGGAATATTCTTTAGACTTGCTTTCAATAATTTGTTCTCCTTCCCATTGCTATTAATCAATTTTTAAATTATATGTGCCAAATATGCATAGCAGCAATATGTATTCAATAAATGCTGTGAATCTACTAAGTAATTTCATTTGATTGGGTATCGAATTCCGTCACTTATTGACATAAGTGGGTTGGATATCCACTTATTTAATTTTTAAATATGGAAAACAGAGCAGAAACAATATACAACTTTTTTGCAACGCAGACAAAAGAAACAACTCAAAATATTTACCTGGTAAATAACGAGTGAATTCCCAAATCATATGTTCACAATAGGTCACAGATGAGAATGTAGAATCCCTTTAAAAGTCCTAAAACAGACCACAGTAACATTATTGTGTTGTTGATTGTCTGAACTTTTGAATCAGCTTGTATTGCTAGGAGATTGTTTTTTTCCCGTGTCTCAAAAGAAATACACACTTCCAGTAAAAATTCTCATGGAGGAATGTAGTAGAAGAATAAAATGACCTTCAGACATGTGGGTTTCTTCAAAATTTAGATGTGTTTCTTCTTCCATTTGAGTACATGCCCATACGTTATTGTCCCCTTGACAGTAACCAAAGAGGGTATTACTGGAGCAAGGGCATCCTTAATTCTTATCAGAACAAATAGGTTCTTACAGAGAGATGAGAGGAGAGACAGGGACAAGAGAAAGACAGGTAGAGAACAAGGAAAAATATGGTTTTTTAGTAACTAAGAAATTAAATATTTTACAAAACTTATACCCAGTGATGAATGAGCAGGAATATTTGAAATAAGAATACAGTGTGGAAAAAAAATGGTCACCAGTACAATTAAATGAAATCTGAATTTGAACATGACCACATTTTATCTGAGGAAAAGGACTTTAAAAGGACATCAGTGATAGCATGTGGTGCCAGATACTATAGGTTCAAGAATTATAATAGTAAGTGATTATTATATTTTCCTATGCATTAATGATACTATCTAATATAAAATGTAGTTATTAATTATATTCATGATAATAATAGTAGGCAAATACTGAATACATGTCATGTCTTCATCTCATCCTTAATACGGCTGCCAAATTTAACTTCCTCAAATAAACTCTAGCCATGAATTTTTATTACCCATGGTAAACGTGAAGCTCTTAGACAGCAAGTCTACCTTCTGGAATGAGTTCAGATAATGAATGTAATGTTTAGAACAGTGCCAGGTCGCTATTATTACTATGGAAGACAGTATTGCATAGTGGTCAAGAACATGGACAATGGATCTAGCCATATATTATAATTTTGGTTCTGCCATAAATGATGTGACTTTGCACAAGTTAGTTAAACATTCAGAACCATAGTTTCCTCATCAATGATAAGAGATAAGAATAGCTCCTAGCGATGTAAAAGGGACATGAATTAATACAGATAAAGTTTCGGACAGGCATGGCAGGGTACTAACAGATATATAGGTATCACTTTCCCATTATATCTGTTCCTGTGCTCTGAACTCCTTCATATGCCATGTCTTTTAGTCCATTTTAACATGCTTGATATTTTGATCTGCCTACATTGCTTCTTCCTCTGAAATTTACACCGTTGTATTTACTACCTTTTCAGTTCCTTCAAAATCCTGTTCAAATCTCATCACATCCATGAGACAATCCCTCACCACTTCACCATGAAGTAATCCCTCCTTCTTTTGAACACTGTGCCAATGTACAAATTTTTGCAAATGTCTATAATGATCCTTCCTATGTCCAAAATTCTTACTCACATGTTTCATTTAATTTTTTCCGTTTTGCATATATTTTTAACTCTTACTTAAAAAATGTCTGCTTGTCAAAGATAAAGACAATGTCCTATAAATTTATGTAAGCCTATTACACTTAATGCTAAACGAATCCATGGGCACCTTACTTAAACACTTTGAGCTTCAATATCACCAAAAAAAGGGGGAGGTCATACCTAACTTGTAAGATTGTTGTACAGATTAAATTCAGATATATTTTTGTGTTAGGTATGCATGTGAAAAAATCTGCAGGTAATTATAGTAGTTTATGTAGGTATAGTGCTATGTTTATTTTAATCTAAGTTAATGCATTAGATACTAGTGGACAATACCCTAAAATAATTATGACTAATACTACCTACTTTTATAGACTCCTGATTTATTACAGAACTTGTTTAATGTGAATGGGTCCTGATTGAGACAAACTAAGATAACTAAATCTTTTATATTAAGTCAACTAAATTTGTCATATACTGGGATGTCTGGGTGGCTCAGTCGGTTAATCATCCAACTTTGGCTTAGGTCATGGTCTCATGGTTTATAAGTCCAAGTCCCATATCTGGTTCTCTGCTGTCAGCATACAGCCTGCTTCAGATCCTCTGTCCCCCTCTATCTCTGCCCCTTCCCTGCTCACACTTTCTCTCTTTCTCAAAACTAAATAAACATGTAAAAAATAAATTTGTCATGTACTTTATATGCACTTGAAACCTTTATTTGTGCTTATTTTCATTTTTAATTTTTATTTATTTATTTCGAGAGAGAGAGAAGGAGAGAGCAGGAGAGGGACAGAGAATCCAAGCAGGCTCCACATTGTCAGCATAGAGGCCGACATGGGGCTCGATCCCACAAACCATGAGATCATAACCTGAGCCAACATCAAGAGTGGGTCGTTTAGGGGCGCCTGGGTGGCACAGTCGGTTAAGCGTCCGACTTCAGCCAGGTCACGATCTCGCGGTCCGTGAGTTCGAGCCCCGCGTTGGGCTCTGGGCTGATGGGTCAGAGCCTGGAGCCTGTTTCCGATTCTGTGTCTCCCTCTCTCTCTGCCCCTCCCCCATTCATGCTCTGTCTCTCTCTGTCCCAAAAATAAATAAACGTTGGAAAAAAAAAAAAAAGAGTGGGTCGTTTAACTGACTGGGCCACCCAGGTGCCCCGAAAACCTTGTTTTAAAAGCAAGTGTCATTATCAACAAATGATCCTACCTAAATTTTGTACATTTTGGTCTTAAAAACAGTACTGTGGTTGGGAATACAGATTTGAAATTTCTAGTCTCCTAATTGAATGTTCTATTTGATGTTGCTACCCTGAAACTACACATGCGCATGAAGCAAAAGGAAAATATTTAAAATAATTCTGTCTTATATTCTATGTGAACTCAGACTGCATTCCCCTTAATAAATGTACCCCTTGATGTTCAACTGAGGAAGTCTTCAACTTGTTTTTAATTTACCATGTTGCAACTCACTTTATTTGTGTCCTTAATTTCATGCTCTCTGATCTGATGCTAATTTATTCAACAATTATTCTCAACCTGCAGCACACAGATAATGAGACATAAGTGCAACTGAATCGTGTTATTTTTCCGATTGAAGCTGAGGGAGGGAGTCTGAAGTAGCACTTCTATGGATGATGTCATCACAAACCTTCATCTTTCTGGTATCACTGCCCTATGTGCCAGAAACATGGGCTTGAATTCAAATTCCTTCTCTGATGTGTTGTTAAATAGGGCATATCATAAATAGTTATATATTCTAGAGAGATTTCATGAGAAATGATGTAAAAAACCCACAGGCCCTGCCTTAATTGACTTATTCACAGTGCAGTATGCTTTCATGTAATATATACAGGGCCAACTTTTACTCTTTAAAGAGATTAAAAAATAAAATAAAAATATCAAATTTTCCCATCACAGCATTTTAGTTCTTTAAGACTTATTTTTCCATACTCCTGGAAATTATTATCGAAGTTGACTAAAGGAATGTTTCTTTTGAATCTTAAAGTGATTCATAGTTATATTTCTTAATCCAGGATCAAGTACAAACAAGTTTAGTTCTTCTGTAAAATTAATCAATTTAAACAAAATATTAAAGGAACTTTAGAGAAATCTCTCCCTATTTCTTTTTATTTCTATGTCTGAGTAGATGGCACCTTCAATGACAATTAATTATTTACATTGTCAGACAATTCTTGACTTATTTTATAAATATGTAATTACCTTCAACTATAGTATTTCATTCTATCTTATAAAGTCACTTCGATTTTATTATATATTATACATTATCCTGAGCTATTTCAAGCAATCTTCAAGCAAGTCTTCCTATTTTTGTATTTTCTCACATTAGCCCCTCCATACATACTATCCCAAGGTAGATTTTACTTAATCACGGCTTTCCTCTGATGCTTAATCACCAAACAAGCAAATAAACGAAGCAAAAA